AGCCTGGAGCCTGTTTCAGTCTGTGACTCCCTCTCTCTCTGACCCTCCCCTGCTCACGCTGTCTCTCTCTCTCTCAGAAATAAATAAAACATTAAAAAAATAAAATAAAATGGCATTTCTTAGACTTAAACCCTCCCTAGCAATTGTGACCCAAGCAACATGTCCTCACAAGACCCTAAGTCAGCAGTACCAAATCAAATCCATGAGAAAGGTTATTTCATAGCCTCCACCCCAACCACAAACAATCAAGTAGCAGACCACATTCCCTTGTAGCAAATGGTGTCACCATGGCAGAATCACCTTCATCTTATTTCCTCTTGAAAGCCCTTTCTCCCAAGGGAACCTCAAATCAGTTACTGTCAGACAGACTTAGAGCCAACACAAAGACATTGTCTTAATTCTTCCATTCCCAGTTCTAATTCATCATATCTTCCTTGTCTGGCCCCCATGTTTACTAAGTTCTCATCAAGGGTTAATTTATAGTGGTTTGGGAGCTTTAAGGAACAGCTGTGCCTTCTATCAGCAGCCCTAGAAAGTAATCTCACCGTACAAAGTTAAACTGAGAGAGGAAAGGAGGGGAACTGGCCTGGTAGGGCACACTCTTGGCTGCCAAACCCAACAGGGGAAAGGAATTTTTTCATTTGGAGTTAGAGCTCTTTGCTGAGATATCCTCTAGATCTTTCCTGAGCTTGCTGAATTTTTCATCCTATTTAGTACTAATGGCATACTTTAAATTAATATTTTGTAGCTAATGTACTGAATGACAGAACTTGGATTCAAATAATAAGGGAGTAAATCTAACAAGACAACATTTAATCCAGAAAAACAGAAGCTACTATACTTGGGTTAAAATTAAAATTATTCACAATATATGCACCGCTGTTTTCTACAGTATTTACAATAGCCAAACTATGAAAGCAGCCCAAATGTCCATTGGTAGATGAATGGATAAAGAAGATGTTCTTATATATTCATTCATACACACACACACACACACACACACACACACACACACACACACAGAGTGGAATATTATTCAGCCATAAAAAAGAATGAAATCTTGTCATTTGAAACGTGGATGGAGCTAGAGTATAAGGCTAAGTGAAATAAGCCAGCCAGAGTAAGACACATACCATATTATTTCATTCACATGTAGAATTTTTAATGTTTATTTATTTTTTAGAGCGAGAGAAACAGAGCATGAGCCGGGGAGGGGCAGAGAGAAAGGGACATAAAGAACTGGAAACAGGCTCCAGGCTCTCAGCTATCAGCACAGAGCCCAACACAGGGCTCGAACTCATGAACACAAGATCATGACCTAAGCTGAAGTCGGACGCTTAACCAGCTGAGCCACCCAGGTGCTCCACTCATATGTAGAATTTAAGAAACAAATGAACAGAAGGAAAAAAGAGATAAACCAAAAATAACCACACTCTTAACTATAGAGAACAAATGATTACCAAAGAGGAAGTAGGGGTAAGGGGTATGAGTGAAATAGGTGAAAGATATTCTAAGGGTACACTTATATTCATGAGCACTAATATTTAGATGGAATTATTGAATCACTATATTAAACACCTGAAAGTAATTTAACACTGTATGTTAACTGTACTGGAATTAAAATTTGAAAAGTTAAAGTGATTTATATAAGAGTATTAACAGTGATATGTTAAACAGATTTGGGAGTGTCAGGTGATGCAATTTAAAGTGGATTCAACTGTGTAATATGGCATCCACAAAATTTAACCTATGATCTTAGGATTCAACTACAGATGTATAGGGCCTATTCTGTAATGAAGGGTGTGATAAGATCACTCCATTCTATACAAGACAGAACATTCAGTATTTTTCATTTATGAAATTTAGGAGCATGTGGATGATGAGTCACTTTGAAACAGTATACCACATCAGAAAGAACCCAAATAACTGGGGAAGTGAAGCCTAAAAAAAAAATCTTGATGTGAATGTAATTGTTTAAGGATTAAATGAGGGGTGCCTGGGTGGCTTAGTCGGTTAAGCGTCCGACTTTCGCTTGGGTCATGATCTTGCGGCTCGTGGGTTCGAGCCCCGCGTCAGGCTCTGTGCTGACTGCCAGCTCAGAGCCTGGAGCCTGTTTCAGGGTCTGTGACTCCCTCTCTCTCTGACCCTCCCCTGCTCACGCTGTCTCTCTCTCTCTCTGCTAGAAATAAATAAAAACATTAAAAAAAAAAGGATTAAATGAGATAGCGTATTGAAAATGCTTAGTACAATGCCGGGCAGAAGTGTTCAATTAATGTTAATTAAAAAACAATAATTAGTAGTAGTTATTAGCATTTATATTATTATTATTATTATTTCTATTATTATAGTTAATGGTTACAGAGTTCTTTCTATGTGCTAGGCACCTTTCCAAGTCCTTTACATATACTGACTCATTTACTCATTTTATCAATCCTTTGAGATAGGTACTATAAATCTCCAATTTTGCAGATGAAGAAGTTGAGTCACAGAAAATTCAAGTAGATTTCCCAGTGTATCTCACAGCTGAGAAGGGGAAAGAACTAAAATATTAACTCTAATACTTGTTTTGTACCACTCCAGAAAGCAGAATCAACACCAATGTATGTCAACTACTGGGAGGCAGATTTCAGCTCAACAAAAGAAAAAAACTACTCTGAATGATTAAAACTGTCTGAAATTTCAATGGGTGTCTTTTAAGGTAGTGAGTTCTCCATTACAAGATATAAGGGGGAAGAGGACAGAAATGATGAAATGAATAAAATGGGGGTCCTCTTGGAAAGAGGTAAAGCCAAACTTTGGTGCAAAAGATAAAGAAGGTATAGTGAAACCTGGCTTTAAAAGTTACACATCACTGAAAAATGGAAAAGTAAAAGTTACAGAAAAGATATAAAAGTGAACTAATATCTGTCTTGCTGCTATCTCAACATAAAATAAATTACATGTTAGAAAAAAAGGGGAAAAAAGTTCTTAAAATGGGAAATTTTCTGAATGAATTTGTTTGGAAGCTTATTGGACCACCTGGGTTTGAAGGAAAAAAAAAAACCAAAACAATCCCCAAATCCTAACAAATCTGACATCCACCAACCCTAAAAGTATAAAATACAGAGAAGAGAGTTATAGTCTACTCTCCAGAAGAAAGGGCACCTGCATAAGAAGTAGCATCCAAGCTGATGTGAGTAGGTAAGATGCAGGTATGGGAGGTTGAAGATCATAACTCCATTAGATTCAGGGGCACCTGGGTGACTCAATAGGTTAAAAGTCCCACTTCGGCTCAGGTCATGTCATGGTTTGTGAGTTCGAGCTCCGCTTCGGGCTCTGCACTAATGGTTTGTAATACTCCCTCTCACCCTCTCTCTCTCTCTCTCTATCTCCTCCCCTAACTCACACTCATGCACTCTCTCAAAATAAATAAACTTAAGAAAAACACCACTAGGGCGCCTTGGTGGCTCAGTCATTTGAGTGTCCAACTTCTGCTTGGGTCATGATTTTGTAATTCATAGGTTTGGGCCCTGCATCAGGCTCTGTGCTGACAGCTCAGAGCCTGGAGCCTGCTTCTTATTCTGTGTCTCCCTCTCTTCTCTAACCCTCCCTCCTCTACCTTCAAAAATAAATAAACATAAAAAAAATTTTTTTTAATGTTTTATTTATTTCTAGGAGAGAGAGAGAGAGACAGCGTGAGCAGGGGAGGGTCAGAGAGAGAGGGAGTCACAGACTGAAACAGGCTCCAGGCTCTGAGCTGGCAGTCAGCACAGAGCCCGACGCGGGGCCCGAACCCACGAACCGCGAGATCATGACCTAAGCAAAAGTCGGACACTTAACCGACTAAGCCACCCAGGCACCCCAAACATAAAAAAATTTTTAATTAAAAAATTTTTTAAAATTTAAAAACACCATTAGATTCAAACATACATACTTGTAAAGACAGTTGAGTGTGTTAATATGATTTTATTCCTGCTACTCAGTGTGTGATCAGCAGAATTGCTGCACAGTTGAATATGAATGTCTTCTGTGCTGAATCTTTTGGCACAGCAGTCCCAGGACCCAGATATTTGCTGATTTAATGAATTAATACACACTTTTATCAACCAGCAACACCAAGAGGTGGCTGGTTAAGGATTTAGAGTACCAGAAAAATCTCTTTCTTCTATTATGAATAATAATTACTGAAGAGAGTGTGTGTGTGTATACACATATATATAAAAGTATATATAGGGGTGTCTGGCTGGCTCACTTGGTGGAAAATGCAACTCTTGACCTCTGGGTCAAGAGTTTGAACCCCATGTGTGGTGTGGTATTTACCTACATTTAAAAATAATTGTATACATATTTATAATAATGTCACACTCTCCTCCCCAAAAGCTCCCATTTCAGAAAATAAATTTTTAGATTATTTGTACTTAAACGGACAAATGTGTATTTTGATTTATGAAAATCAAAGTATTCATGTTTTTAGATTTACATACTTTACAAACAACTGTTTCCAGAGTTCTAGAACTGAATGATTACTAATTTAGACTAAAGTCTCTATTTGTGATATAGGTTTGGGGGCTCAAAAAATCGTTAGGTCATGGAAAAGTGAAAGCTTGTCTTCCATAAAAGTGGCAAATGGTGAAAACCATGTTGATAGAGCCTAAATGGACATGATGGAGTCATGGATATGGATGTGAATTAAAACTGGGAAAGGAGACATATGGTATTGATTCATTAAGTAAAAATAGTCAAACTTTAGTGCAGGATCTGGGGTACAGGTGAAATAATGGGCCTTGGTGGTTGACAACAGAATAAGAGGTGGTATCAGGGTAAGCAGCAGAGAGGAAGCGGCAATAACTCCCAAGACTGGATGCTGACCATCTCTGGTAACCAGGAAAAGGCAAATATAAACAAAGAGGTGAGTGACGATGCCTGTTGTGTTGGGGGTTAGGAAATACTGGCAGAGCTGCAGCATGGCCGCCGGTCAAAGTGGTAACTGGGGATCTGAGCTCGCCGGTGACGCGCGGCCCTCACGTGACCAGGAGCCTATGTCTGCCCAAGTCCCTCTCGTCCAGGTCCTTTTTGCCTGTCCAGACACCGTCTGCCTACTGCTCTTTGATCGAGGGGAAAAGCAGGAGGAAGTAAGTCCCCTTGGTCCTTTTAAATCGATTTGAGTGTCAGTGCTGTCCAATAACCCCTGGGATCGGGATGGCAGAGTACCAGACCTTTCCCTATACCCAGCCCTGCCCCCCGCGCCCACATTTCGGTGTAGAAAATGGTGGTCTTGGGGTGAGGTTGGGAGGTGAGTGGGGGCCCCTGGAAGGGAGACACAGACACTCAGAAATATTTTCTAAATAATCCTTCGCTTCCACTCGCCGCCTGAAATGATGAGCATTGTGGAGCATGGGGGAGGGGACGCAGAGGGGGCTGGCGCGGAGGCGGCGGCTAGTGCCCAGGAAAGGGACGTGTGTGTCAGTCAGTCCTTCCCTCCTCCCCACTCCCCGCCCCCTACCCTCTCTGGCGTCTGTTTGCAGGTCTGCAGGTCACAGCGGTGCGCCTCGAGGAGAGGAGGCCTAGAGCAAACCGCAAGGAGAGGTCCAGGTCAGGAGAGGGGTGGGCAGTGGCCCGGGATGGGGTGCGTGGGAGGACGCTGACTAGAACGGAGTCTGAGTCGCAGCACCACCGCCCCGCCCCTGTCACTGCGGGAGAGGCCTGTGGCAAGGCCTGCTGGGAAAATGGTGGGCTTTCGGGAAGGCGGGGGCCAGTCGGGCTGAGGGGGTGCCGCGCGGTTACCAGGGCCCGAGAGCCCCTCGACAAGCGTAGGTCAGGGGACCTGGGCCCCCAATTCAGGAAAAGGCAGGTATGGGAGCCCGTGGCCGGGGTTTTGATACAGCCACCAAGTGTGTTTACTCGACTCTGCCTTGTCTCCTATGAAAAACTAAAGACGATCCTCAACATGGAAAAATCCTGCAAAAAAAATGAAGAACAGCCACAGGGCGCGCCCCAGACGGCTGAGGAACGGCCTCCTGTGGAGCACTCTCCCGAAAAGCAGTCTCCGGAAGAACCATCTTCCGAGGAACAGTCGGAGGAGGAGGAGTTCTTTCCTGAGGAGCTCCTTCCCGAGCTCCTACCCGAGATGCTCGTGTCAGAGGAGCGCCCTCCTCCGGAGCGCCTTTCTAGAAGGGACCTTTTTGAAGAGCGCCCTCCCATGGAGCAGCCTCCTTGTGGAGTGGGAAAACATAAGCTGGAAGAAGGAAGCTTCAAAGAAAGGCTGGCTCGCTCTCGCCCGCAATTTAGAGGGGACATACACGGCCAAAATTTGAGCAATGAAGAGATGATAAAGGTGGCAGAGGAGATGGAAGAAATGAAAAGGGTACGAAACAAATTAATGGTCATGCATTGGAAGGCGAGACGGAACCGTCCTTATCCCATTTAATGTGTTCTTTAATTCGATTTCACCTGATAGAAATATTGCCAGCTGAACTTTGTTTGAATTTTCTCATGCATCTTTCCCCATCTCAATTTTAACTTTTTGCGTGGCTTTATTTTAGGTGTTTTGCTTGTAACTGGCATAAAATTGGGTTTTCTCCACCCACAAGTTGCAAGTCTCCCTCTCTCACCCATTTGCATGAAAAGGTGTACATTATATACTGTGAAGTGAAAAAAACAATTTTCAAAAAGTATATGTAGCATCCCATTTTTGTAAAAATGTATATTTATATATTAATATGCAAAGAAATAACAAAGTATATACTTAAATGTTTTAACAGTGGCTATCTGTAAGCCGTCTGTAGTGGTAAGATAACAGGTGTTTTGGTTTTTCATTTTTGCTTCATTTTTCAAGCAAAAGCTTGAAAAAACTTCTCATTTTTCAAGACAAACATATTTTGCTTTTGTTGAAATAAAACAATATGGGAAAAATTTTTAAAAACTGTCAATCAACTTATAAAGACAATGTGGCACTTAATAAATATTTGTCAGAACGTTAAAGAAAAGTAAATCCCATGTTTCTTTTAAATGTCTTAGGCAGAAAAGTAAACCTGGTACTTCTACTTAAGGGTCATTCTTTTCCCGTTTATTTTTTTAATTTTTTTAAGATTTACTTATTTTTGAGAGAAAGAGAAAGAGTATGAGTGGAAGATGGTCAGAGAGAAAGGGAGACACAGAATCAGAGCAGGCTCCAGGCTCCAAGCTGTTAGCACAGAGCCTGACATGGGCTCGAACTCATGAGTGGTGAGATCATGACCTGAGCTGAAGTCAGATGCCTAACCTACTGAGCCACACAGGTGCCTCATTCTTTTCCAATTAAATAGGAATAATATTGGATTTAATAGGCTGCCGTGGAGCCAAATGAAGTAAAGATTCTGGAGCTCTCTGGTTTTCCACCTACTCATGCAGGACCCCCAACCCCTATAAAATACCCTTCAAATACAGCAGATAGAACCCAGAGGTTTCACTTACACTCACAAATAATTCCTGTGAGATTCCAGGTGAGAGCCACATTCTATCTCTGTCTTGCTATTCCTTTCCCTTGGACACTGCCACATCTACTGGGCATACCTGCCCCTTTTCCTGGGTCTTGCTCCTTCATGATCCCCACCACAACCAAAGTACCTGGGCCCTCCAGTTGCAAAGTTTAACTGATTTCTCTGGAGTCCCTTCTGAGCCAAAGCTGAACTCAGTCTCCTACAGATAAATGGAGAATGCCCCTCCTTCAGCTTTAATATTATACTTATACAGGTGCATGTCATCCCAGTGCTGCTTAAACATCAATGTTTTAAAGAATTCTTAGCAGGTGCCTGGGTGGCTCAGTCAGTTAGGTGTCTGATTTAGTTTCAGCTAGGTCATGATCTCACGGTTCGTGAGTTCAAGCCCCACATCTGGCTCTATGCTGTTAGTGCAGAGTCTGTTTGGGATTCTCTCTCTGCCTCTCTCATTCTCTCTCTCTCTCTCAAAAAAAAAAAAAAATTCATAGCAAAATGGCCCCCCTTTTTCCTGAAAGTCTCTCATTTCTCCACTGGATTCAAACATGAGTTCACTGAGACCTGGGCTAGGAGACAAATTTGTGAGCGGGACACAATGCTGTGTATTCAGAATTGGAATCTCTCCCAAATAATCTCCATAAATGTTAGGTATCTAACGTTTGCCTTAGGGTGTTTGCTGGGGTGGTTTCTGGAAGGCTTGCCTAAACCAATTCAGCTGATTTGCTCAGTTTGTATAAATTAAAGAGGAAAGTAAGACTTAGGCTTCAGTTAGGACATTTCCCCTCCAGCCCACCCCACATCACCAAGAAACATTCAAAAGTACTTTGTAAGTATTTAAAATACTATATATGTATATGCATATGCATATATATGCATGTGTGTGTCAGATATTGATTTCTCAAACTACCCTCATAACACCTAAGATTTTATTTTATTGATTCTGTCGATTCTAGAAACATGGATAGTGGTTAATTTTTTTAAAATTCTGACCCAGTCATGAACCCTGAGTTTGTGTGATTGACAATGTAGCTTCAGTGTGTTCACTTCTCTAGAAAGTATGAATTGCAGTTCCAAAAGGATCACTGTGGGGAGGAATTCCTTACCCAGATTCAACATTAAAATTATTTACATATTTTAAAAATCAGCATTTCTCTTATAAAAAATGCAAAGACTGGGTTCTACCCCAGACCTACTCCATTTCCTTTTTTGTCAATTACCACACAAGTTAGAGAACCACTGCTATATGCAGTACACTCCTGGTTTTAGTAAGAATAAATTATGGCATAAATAGAAGAAAATGCACCTAATTGCATCAGAATTTGAAAGGGTGATGGGATACACCTGGGTGGCTCAGTTGGTTAAGCGCCAGACTTCAGTTCAGGCCATGATCTCATGGTCCATGGATTTGAGCCCTGCATCAGGCTGTATGCGGACAGCTTAGAGCCTGGAGCCTGCTTCATGTTCTGTGTCTCCCTCTCTATCTCTGCTCCTCCCTCATTCATGCTCTGTCTCTCAAAAATAAATACAAGTTAAAAAAATTTTTTTAAAGTAATAAAAAATAAAAGGGTGAAAGGCTTGGGGCAGTGACTGGCTGGCTCAGTTGGTTAAGCAACCTACTCTTGGTTTTAGCTTAGGTCATGATCTCATATTTCGTGAGTTCGAGCCCTGCACGTGGCAGTGTAAAGCCTACTTAGGATTCTATCTCTCTTCCTCTCTCTCCGCCCCTCCCCTGCTCATGCTGTCTCTCTCTCTCTCAAAATAAATAAATAAACTTAAAAAAAAAGTCAAAGCCTTGTCCAAACACATTTTTAAGAAACTAAAAACAACCTTATCAATTTTACTACGTAAGATTTAGAATTCTTGCAGCAAAGCAAGACTATACACAGCATGAAAAGCTAAGAGAACAATAAAATAACAAGATACATTTTCCGTGATTGACATTATAGAATGCCTTTCATTCCTTTCTTTCAATATGAGAAAAATGCATCAGAAATAAATTTAAAGTTGTTTGGTAATCAGCTCACAAAATGATAAGCCAGCCCTGGGCCCTTGACTTTTGTTTTTATCTTTCACTGTATGTTGCCCTTTGGGGGATCTTCATGTCTCCAGATCATTCTTCAATGTCATGGCAGTTGATGAATGCTGGTTGGGCTGGATTCCATTGGAGTGAAGTAAGTTTTCAGGGGCTCACTCTGCCAGTTTGACAAGACAGTAAGAATCCAACCCTCTGGCTCTCAGATGGGTGGCATTCAGGCAGGATGTGGAAGGGTTCACCCAAGTCACACTCCTCTACAGGGTGGGTCTGATTTTGGTTTCTCTGCTCCAGCCTGCAGCAGGCACCAGACCCTCTGAAGCTGATGGCCAGATTATCCTGGACATACGTACCTGGGGGGCAATAACTGTCCCCATTGCAGGTCAGAGCACTTTGCCTTTCCTTCCTTTTCCCTTTCTCTTTTGGGGAAATTTTTTTAAGGGGAAAAGATAAAGTCCCAAGGATTCCTAACTGGAAACATAGTCTTTGAGTAGGCAGATATCTGACCTGGGTCTGACTAGGTAACTTGGGGCTGAAGCAGAAGGAGCTGGCTCTTTGCTGAGTTTAATAAGTTAGCCTTTCCACAAATTGGGTTAGACCTCAGACAAGACCTCATCCATCCCTCTTCTGCCCACCTTGCACAGACTCTCCAAAGGGCCTCAGACATGTCCCAGCCTGTTTTGGTGATTCTGTAGTGAACATTGCTCTGTGCATGTAGTGCCTCTGATGTCTGTGTCAGCCTAGGCCCAGAGGCGGAAGAGACTCCAGGTAAAGGGAATTTGTAAAGGCATGTGGCCCAGCAACTTAGGAGAAACGGGGGTTCATCTCCTGAGTACCCCTATGCATTGCAGGATCTGCCCATGACTTGGGGGCCAGCTGCATTGGTGGTAGAAGTTCAGCAGTATCTACAGCCTGGTTCTCTGGGCCTCTTAACCACCTCCATGCCCAAACAGAAGGCTGGTATTTCAATCACATATCCAAGAAGCAACTTGCCTGGCTAACCCCATAGCAAAAAGCGTTGAGGACCCTGACCCCTTAGAGAAAACCTTCTTTTAACCAGAATGATCTGGCTTTTAGGACACAGTGCTTGAGAGTGGGAGCCCCTCTGGTGAGGTAGCATAGAGAGATCAGGTTCAGGCTCCTTGTAAAACACCCAGAGATCCCTTCCTCTCCCATTCAGAAATACTAACCCAAACTCAATTATTTTTACAAATAAGAAATAAAACTATATGGATAAATAAGAGTCAGATCTTGTGTTCTAATTCATATTTGTCTGAATCAAATTCTGCATTCTTCCCACTCTATATACTCCAATTTATGTTTTAAATAATCAACTTAAAGTAAGTTTTACCCCAAATGTGGAGCTCAAAACTCACAACCCCAAGGTCAAGAGTCTCATGTTCCACCAACTGAGCCAGCTAGGCATCTCTCACTACCTCCAATTTAGATTATAGTTTTCAGGGCCTTAGGGAATAATTGATTTAGACTTAATAAGTATTGCAAGTTTGTGCATTTGGGTGAGTTTTTATATTATCTTTTTTCAGTTGGAAATGTCCAGTAGGCAGTTAGATGTAAGTGTCTAGAGTTTGGAAAAGAGATTGGCATGGAAATATAGAGTGCGGTAGATATGTAGTAAGTAGTAGTAAGGACCTGTTGTATATTTATTGAATTGAATGATTGAAGAGCTCAATTATATATCCTTCTAACCTTTTCTATGAATGTATTTTTTCAAACAGAAGTGGGATTGTACTGAATGTACTGATTCATAACTTATATGTAAAAAAATGAACTTTTTCTTTAAACCTCTTTACCAAGACAATATTGGTTTTAAATAATATGTTTTTATTAAAAAAAAGAATTGTCAATGTTTATTTATATTTGAGAGAACGAGAAACACAGTGTGAGCAGAAGAGGGGAAAAGAGAGACGGAGACAGAATTCAAAGCAAGCTCCAGGCTCTGAGCTGTCAGCACAGAGTTCCATACCAGGCTTGAACCCATGAGTGGTGAGATCATGACAGGAGCCGAAGTCAGACTCTTAACTGACCCAGGCGCCCCTTAAATAATATTAGAAACTAGAAGTAAGCATGCCATCTGGTGACCAGAGCCAGAACTATGAGTTGAACACACCACAAACAAAGAAGAGAGGAAAGGAGAGAAACTTGGAGG